TCTACTCGCACCTCGCCATTGATCAGAGGAAAGCCTTATGTGGGCCACAGCTTTTTACTAGAATGTAAGATTATTTTTACCTCTATCGCAGTTATTTGTACAGACCCCTTCCATTAGGAATGATTCTGTCCTATTCATGGTGTCCACTAAGTGCCATCAAGTTTTCCTGTTGAATCATTTCTTCTGATTGAAAAAAGGAAGAGCATTTTCAGAGAAAAAGTCCGGGTAGATGGAAGACTTGGGTTCATGGAGCGAGAGACGCCAAGGCAAGGGCACACCAAGGCCGGCCCCGAACTCCCAATCAGCCTGACCTCACCGGGGCCTCCTGGCAGCGGGGAGCACTACCTGCTGGGAGGTTGAACCTGCAACCCAGCAAGCAGGGATGGCGCCGCTTGTCAAATGCCACCCAAGCCTGTGGTGTCCAAGTCTTCAGACACAAAACTTGGCTTCTGTAATTAAAACAGCTCGAAAACAGAAGGGGAGCACTGGGGATCCAAACAGGGGAAACAGAAAAACAAGCATGACAGGGTCCTCGTCCAAATCCAAACCACCCATTTATGAAAATTCGGGGGTGAGACAGTTGAGGACATTGGAATATGAAACATTAATTTTATTAGTGTGATAATGACATACCGTTATATAAGGAAAAATGTCTATCCATTAGAAAAAATACAGTCTCATGAACAAAGGAAAGAGGTATTTGTCAAAGCTGGGCTTCAGGAACGTTCACCTGGGAGCAGCGAGGTGTGAGGTGGAAGCTGGAACCTGCGATTCTGAGCAGAGGCTCCGAGAGAGTCAGACATCTCCTCGGGGCAGGGGCACAGCTGACAGGACCGATGCTGCCTGGGACTCTCAACCTCCTGAGCTCCTTCTCTGTCCTGGCCCCGGCTGGGGTAGAGGCCATGGTGCTTGCCCTGGGGCGGCCCTGCTGCCTGTGACTGTGGCCCAGTGAGGGACAGGCCTGCCACAAACAGCATGCGGCATGTCACCCAGGCAGGGCTGCTCAGTGGGGCAGGAGCTTCTGTAGGCTCGAGAGGGTTCCACCCGGAGGTGGCTTTGCCAAGATGGGGATCCCACCATGGGGCATGGGAGGGAGATGAGAGGCTCTTCCCTGGACCTTGTGAGCCGCAGCCAGAGATGCCAGCATCCCGAGGGCAGTGAGTGAGGAGAGGCCAGGGCTGCAGGGAGGCTGGGGCGCCAGCATCGGGGAAACACGTGTAGCATAAAATGTACCATCTTAACCATGTGTAAGTGCACAGCTCAGTGGCACTAAGAGCACTCTCATTGTTCTGCAGCCACCACCACCATCCGTCTCAGACCAATCGTCTTCCCCACTGAAGCTCTGTCCCCATCCAACTCTCACTCCCACCCCTCCTCCCGCAGCCTCTGGTGCCCACCATTCCATCTCTGTCTCTACGACTGGGACTACTCTAGGGACCTCTAGGGACCTCGTAAAGGTGGAATCATATGTATTTGTCTTTTTGTGCTTGGTTTACTTCTCCTAGCATCATGTCTTCAAGTTCATCCGTGTCAGAGCATGCTTGAGAATTAGCTTCCTTTCAAAGGCTGAATGGGCTTCCGCTGTTGCGGTGCACCGCTTTGGTTTGTCCATTCACCTGTCAATGGACGCTTGGGGTGCCTCTGACTCTTGGCTGTGTGAAGAGTGCTGCTTTGAAGGTGGGTGTGCAAGTGTCTCTGAGAACCTGCTCTCCATTCACGTGTTTACCCAGAAGCAGGGTTGCTGGATCACTTGGTGATCCTATGCTTAACTTTTTCAAGAACTGCCACACCTCATCCACAGCAACTGTATGATTTTCCTTTCCCACCAGCAGTGGGGAGAACCCTCCCCTCCACCTGCACACTTCTCCACAATCTGCAAAACCTTGCTGTTCAAATGGACTGACCCCTCCCATGCCATGTTACCTGGGTCTACCAGTCAGAGCAACTCATCCTTCAGACCAGAATGACTGGTTCAAATAGCAAATCAAGACGTTTCACTGGCCAGTGAAATCCCTACCTGGATGTGTGTGCTGACCAAGAGCATCCTGTTTTCACCGGGACTGCTCAGCTGGTAGGCCTGGAGCCGCGGGTGGCCATCGCTGCCTGCAACACCCCCCGCTTGCCCTGGCTTGGGAAGAGTTGGCCTGAGAATGAAGCCCATACGGAGGACAGAGAAGGAGGACAGGCTCCTCATGACCTCCAGGAGCCCCTGGATCCAGCCATGCCTGGGTAGATGCACCCTTGGACTTGTCAATTTCACGAGCCTGCCAGTTCCCTTTCTTGCTCCAGCCAGCTTAAGTTTCTGTCATTTCTAATGCAGGGGGACACCCAGCAGGGAACATGTGCTCAGGTGCTTCTCAGGGCGGTTTTAGCCCAATACAGCAATGATGGCTGGAAAGCCCATCTATCAAACAGACCCCACACTGGGGAGAGGGCATGAGTCTCCCAGCCTCGAGGGCAGACTCAAGGGGCTGGTAGTTATCTACAAGCTGGCTACAGGAGAAATGCTCCTGAGAACATGCTTTCCTCGAAGTACCCAAGGCCCCAGGGCGTCTCTCACTGCCAGCCACTCACGTCCCTCTGCTCTGTGTCCAGACTCTGGGCATCAGGCCCTGGTTTGTCCTCCAGGAGGCTCCAGCCACAGAGAAGTGCTGCAGCACCCAGCAGAGAGTCTGAGTTTGAATCCTGGCCCCACCATGGGTAACCACGTGTCCTTGAGGGTAGTGACTTCACCTTTCTGCTCCCAGGTTCTCCTCCTCCAATGGGGCTGGTCCTGGTCCTGACTTGCAGCCTCGCAGCCTTGAACGCTGCAGAAACCACTCCCCAGCATCTGTGTCCCCTAAAGGTCTGTGGTGCACCTGCCCACATGCCCAGTGCAGGCTAGCTGGAGGCTCTGCTCCAGGACTAGATGCTCAGCCTGGACATGACCTAAGTCACTTCCACTGACAACTCCATGATGGTTGTCCTCAGAAATAAAACATGTGCCCACAAAGCCCCACCATCAGGGCTGATGGAAGGCCCCAACGGGGCACCGTGGGCCATGGGCCCTGGGAACACCTGCAGGAGGCTCTTGGTCTCCAGCCTCATCTGGCCTCATCCCATGGCTGCCAGATGTGAATCAGAGCCCACCCTCTTCATTCCCCAAGGCCCGGCACCTCCTGCACCTCCTTGCACAGAGCTCACCTGGCCTCCTCCGTTCCTCCCGATACAGGGAATGCTCCCCCGATGTCACTTCGGCTGGCTCCTTGTTTCTCAGGCCTTGATTCCTTCGTCCCTCCCTAGGACTTCCCTGCCCACCTGGCCAGGTGTTTTCTTCAGGGCGCTGCACCATCTATAGTCACTGTATCAGGTCTTACCTGGCCGGTTATTTTTTTATTTCTGCTCAGAGCCTCTGTTTGTTCTCGAGCTGTGGCTGCTCTGGGGCCCAGGCGGGAAGTCCGAAGTCACCTCTGGATCTGCTCTGGGTGGGGGGGTGCCGCCATCCTGACCAAGCCCACAGATTGGCCTTGCCCTTGCCCTGCAGAGAGCCCATCCAGGTGCCCTGCCCAGAGCTGTCGGCATTAATAGCTGATGGTTTAATACCCTCAGGAGCCAGCGCACTCACGCAGCAATCAGAAGGCCCCATCACCGCTGCCGTGTAATTGCACCCCATCACTAGCGCAGCGAGTGCTGATTGCAGCTCAGAGACAGCTCGGCTTCCAGGCTGACGGGCCGGAGCCCTTGGAGGTCTAATGAGGGTAATTGAGGCAGGGCTGATTGTGCTGGAAAAAAGCTGAAGGGGAGTGAGCCATGAGAACAGGCCGCATCACACCCCAAACGGGACCACATTTGCTAAATTTGTTTCCGATGCAATTTCGTGGTGATTACACTGATTTCTCTTGAGTTACTGAGCCTGGCACGGAGCTCATGCTTGTAGCCCCGCTGTCAGGATGCGCCTGTTTTGGAGCGGGAGGTGTTGATGATGACTTATGGACCTCTGTCAGCCCTGGGAATGAGTGCATGGAGAGGCTGGTAGGACAGACAGTAGCTTGGGGGCGTTGGGGAGGGCCTGGGGTCCCAAGGGGCTTCGTTTGGGCTCCCAGGGCTGCTGCTCACCACCGTGTGGCTGGGGCACACTGCGCAGCCTCCATGTGCCTCACTTCCTCACCTGCAGCTGCTTCCTCACCCCCACCTCACAGGGTGCTGGGAGGTCCTGGAGAGTTCACTTACAGGCAGTGCTCAGACAGTCCAGCCTGGGGTCTGCCTGGAGGCACAGCTACAGAGCAAGTGGCCAGGGCCCTTAGGGAAGTCACACCTGACCCCGCACCCACCCCTCTGCAACAGCAGCAGCCACCCATGTTGGGCTATGGATGAAATGAGCCCAGGGAGGGGGCCCCTGACCAAAGCCATGCACTGGCAGAAGCTGCGTCCACACCTCCATCATGAGTATCTGTACAAATTTTCATGAGATGAAGCAGTGTAGCCTGTCTCTGCTGGAAGAACCAACACTTCTCAAACCCAGTTCCTTGGCTGCAGGCCTGCCAACAAAAAGAGGCTCCCTGGCTGCGGAAGCCTGGGAAACAATTCCAGCCTTGGCTACTGAAGGCAGGGGGCCCAGGACTGCAGCCCGATTCCCCAGGCTGTTGTGCATGGGCCCCTCAGGGTCGGAATCAGATTTTAGTCAACAAGGCACCCAGGAATTCCGGACTCTCGGCATGGGCTGGGAGCCACTGCTCTGAGCTAGGGGTGCCATGGGAGAATCACCTGGAGAGCTTCTAAAAGTGACCACCGCTCAGCCCCCTGAAGCTCCGAGGCTCCTGTGGGGTTAGGCACTGGTGTTTTAGTCTTCGCCAAGGGCTCCAATGTGTCACCTGGGTGGAGCGCACCCGGCTCACAGAGCGGGACCATCTGTCCTGGGTGTCGCTGAGTCTCCCCAGGGAGATGTGCTTCCACATTTGGGGTGTGCCTGTACTCCCATGGCCGCCCCTGCCTCCCAGCAAGGAAAACCTGGAGTCAAGAGCTTTTAGCAAAAATGTTTAATCTCTCCTTAATGTGTGTGTTTATTTACAAGTACTAAATCTGAAGAACAGTAAAATAGGAAATAGCTGTATATGTACACATCTGAGGGCCGGACCTGCGGTCAGCGGCGCTGCTTCTGCTAGGAGCCCCGGCTGAGGGTGCCCGCCTGGACCATTGGAGGGATCGCTCTTCTTCTGGGAGGGGGTTCTGCAGCGTTAAAGGACAGCTAATTGTGGGCTTCGTCTTAAAAATATCTCTCTCTCTAAATATATCTATTCTAGCTGTGTAGCACCAACGTGAGCCACTGAATCCAGAATAGGGAGAAAGCCAGGGCGGAGGCTCTTGGCAAGGCCGAGCTGGGATGGCATGCCGCTCAGGGCCCTGCCCCAGACTCGACACTGCAGGTCTTGGGGCTCCCAGTCCCTCAGGCCAAGGGGCCAGTGGTCCTGGGGCTAGGGAGCACGGAGGAAGCTTGAGGTATATCAAGAGGCCAGGCTCCCAGGCCGAGGCGTGAGCTGTCCTAGCACTCCTGAGCCAGGCGCGGAAAGAGGGAGGACACGGAGCAGGGTAGGAGGTGCTGTGGAAAGCAAGTGGCGTCAGCAGGACGCCAGGTGGGTGTCAGTTTCACAGCACCTGTGTGCAGCCCTGGCTCCCTGCAGACACAGGGCCCATGGGAGCCGCTCACCGCTGCTGGGCACAGAGTAGACTCAAACCCCAGCTCCAACCAGGGACCCCAGCCCCAGGCCAGAGCTCCCGGGTGCTGCATAGCTTGGAGCACAGTGGGAACCAGTGACAAGTGGGAACTGGGCCCCAACTCCACAACCTGGCGGAGGGAGGTATGGAGTAGCTCAGAGACTGCTGTCCCAGTAGACAACACGGGTAGAGTCGGCTTGATACTTGCGCATGTAAACAGATACTGCTAAAGTGCTTGCGCCTAGACACGGCCATGTGCTCTGCGGTGGCCACATCCCAGCCACACGCCCCGTGGGAACCATTCCACACGGGGCCTGTGGGTGCACCCCCTTTATCACCACTGCCGTCCCCACCACCCGCCCATGATACTCACATGGACAAGGGCAGCCTGGCAGGGCCCAGCAGGGCGCAAGTCCTAAGGAGGGTGAGGGTTGGAACTGGATTCCGAAGGTGATGCAGGAGCCCCTACCTGACCCATGAGGAACTGGAAGAACCAGGGGCTTCAACCTGAAGCCAGCATCCAGGGAAGACTTTGGGGGAAACTGAGGCTCCCACCCCGCCATGGCCAGGAAGCATCAGAAGGGAGGTGGAGGCGCACCCAGGGATGGGAATCCCAGCCAACACTAGGGACTACTGAAAAAACAGCCCAGCCACCATATGGACTGGCCTCGGCTCTGGCCCCCAAGTCTGCCCAGAGAGTGAGCCCACCCTCTCAGTCCGCTGGGGGTGGAAGCTGACCCAGGCCTGAGCTGGGTATGACAGCAGCAGGAGGCCCCAGCCCTGGCACAGTGCCCAAGGGGCCAAGGAGCTCCCTGAGTCAGCAGTCACCGATTCCACACTGACCCGTGTTCAGGGGAGGGGCGGGTCTCTATGGTGGTGTCTGGCTCAAGCTGCTCAGGAGGGGTGGATTGCAAGACTGGCACCCCCTGGGGCCAAGTGCTCTCCTCAGGCCTGGCTGAGGACACGGGGCTGGGTCTGGCCACAGTTAGCTGTCCCTTAAAGTCTGTGGGATCTTCAGTACCATCAAAAAAGTGACCTTGAAAAGGGGATGGACCGCTTGTTTGCTTTTACAAGTGACTGATTAATTAAAAAACATAAAAAAGGGTCTAACAACCTCTAGTATTCAACACTTGCAGTTTTAAAAAGATCAACTCAGACTAAACGCTAGCACAATCATGCATGCCCCGCAGGGCCGTGGCACCCGGAGGCTCTCAGGGTCGGCAGGAAGTCCTTTCCATGTCACATCAAACCAAAACAGCGGCTCGCAGGTTGAGGGCACAGGCTTCAGGGCTGCTCCACTCCAGGGAGGCTGCGGCCACTTTCTCCACAACCATTTGGCATTGTTTTCCCACTGCCTTCATTTTCTTGTTCTAAATTGTCTTTAAAATTCCTCTTCAGTTAACTGTACAGTACCCCACTGGGGCTGGAGCCTGAGGCTAGAGCCACATATATATATGTGCATATATATACATGTACAGCTTTCTTTTAAGAATGCATTCTCTCTTGCTGAGGGCAAGGGTGGACACCACTGGCCTCCAGTCCTTCTGGTCACTGCCCGTCATTCACGGCCCAGATAGATCCAGGCCACTGTGGGCTGGAGGGGCTATGCCACAGAACTCAAGGCCCAAGCAGAGTGCAGCGGAATTTTTCTCCCCTAAAAACAAAACAGTCCCCAGATGTCTCACCGCACTGGAAGGGCCAGGACACTGCTGAGACGCCACACTGGAAGCCGCTGGGGCAAGGAGTGGAGGGAGAGGAGTGCTCAGGGGCTGCCCTCGGGGGCTCCACAGCAGGGAGCTCGGCCTTACCCTTGAAGGCAGCTGCCAGGGCAGCCCATGTAGGACTCGAAGGGGAATAAATAACGGGAACGTGCTCTCTGTGACCTGGGGCCCCTGGCCCAATGGCTCCCAGAGGCATAGCCCTGAGGACAGAGAGGGGCCGCCCGGTCCATCTGGAAGCCACCCAGGAGTCTGAGCAGCCTGGCCCGCAGTCCCTCCATAGGAGGGAGCATGGCCTCTCTGGGGCGAGGTGGATGTGGCACTCCGGCCTCTGCCGCGCAGAGCACGCGGTGAATCTGAGGATGGCAGCGGTACAGCAGGCATGGGTGCTGGATGGGGGAGGCGGGTGGCAACAGGCCCAGACCAACGTGAGCTCCTCTTGCCCAGCCATGGGCTTTCGCCTCTTTCTCCAGCTGCCAACTGGGTCCCTGGACCCTCAGACTCTGCCAGCTGGGGGCAGCTTGGGAAGCTAGGAATGCTGACACCCCCAGCCTCTTGTCCTGGTCTCAAGGGGACAGCCCAAGCTGGCTACCCCTCCCCCTTGGAGGGTCCTGGCCTCACCCCTCAGCCCCTCAGAGGTCAGCCCTTCTCTCATGAAGGCCACCAGGCAACTCTTGCCAGGCAATGAAGGTCCTTGGCCGGCCTGGGCACCCAGTGCTGCCCCGGCCCCTGAGCAAGCAGCTGTGTGTACAGCTGTGGCGTGGCAGGTACCATCACCTCCACACAGGAAGAGCCGGGACCCGGCCGGGCGAGACAGGGGAGGGAGGGCCGGTCAGTCGCTGCACTGCGGCGGCCTGAGCGCCACCAGACACTGCACGCGCATGCGGCGAGGGCTGCCCTGGTCCCTGCTTGGCCACCCTCGTGCTGCGTCCTGCTGGACAGTCACAGCCGGGGCTCAGCTGCTCAGGGCCATCGTGTCTACCACCTGCTCCAGCTTGCTCCGCAGCCGCTGCCGCCGTGCCTGCTCATCCTTCTCCAAGGCTGCCAAGATCTGCAGGGCCAGGAGAGCTGTCAGCATGCCGGGCCACCGGCCTCCATAGGCTCAGCAGGCCCAGGGTGGATGCCTCTGGAGCAGGTGCCAGAGGTTCAGCCCCATCTATTCCTGGCCACGGGAACTTGGTTGTGAGCCTGGACCCCCCAGAACCCCATCATGGAGGATGAGCCCCACCCCGTCATCATTCCTACCCTCGCCCCCTAAAACAGCAGGCTCTGATCCCTTGGCTGCCTGGCCACACTACTGACATGTCTCCACCCAGTCCTGACACCCCTGGGGTTCCTGTGCCCCTTTAATATATGGCCATCTGTCGTGGGTGCAGATGAGTCTCCCCAGGGAGATGTGGTTCTCCATTTGGAATGTGCCTGCGCTTCCGTGGCTGCCCCTGCCTCCCAGCAAGGAAAACCTGGAGCCTCCCCAGAAAGCCTCAGTTCCCCTTGCCCTGGTGAGCCCCAGGACCCCAGGCTTTTGTTCCCACCCCCCACCCCAATACACGCAGTCTCTGGCTGCTCCTCTGTTCCTCTGGGGTACCTGCCTGAGAACGGCCCTCTGCCTCCTATCTGCTGCCTGCAGCACCCTGGGAAATGCTCCTTGCTTCTGCTGCACCTGCCCCAGCTTCCCCAGGGTGGCTCTGGTTCAGTCCCGTGGCCTCCTCGGCCCTCAGGGCCTTGGCACAGGCCAAGCCTGTCCTGCCCTCTGGCCCGTGCTCCTGTCCCATGCAGCCCAGGAGTCAGTCCTTCTTCCTGGATACCTCCTGGAGCCTGTCCCCAGTTCCACGTTCGTGGATGACAAGGGCTCACTCCAAGTTAACAGAAAAGATACTGAAAGGGAAGCTCTGCCAAGAGCCTATGCCCAGCCCTGGAGACGCCGGCTCAGGCTGGAGAGCCTTGAAATGAGCCCCTCAGGGAAGTTGCTCACTACCCCTACCCTCCGCCTCAGGAAGAAGCTGCCATCCCATCTTCCTTATCCCCGACCCCACATGGCTGCATACAGTGACTCCACCATAGCCCTCTCTGCTCAGCCTGCCAGGCTTCCTCTTGGCCCTGAGGAACCAGGTAGCCAGCAGGTACAGAGGAGCGAAGGTGCCTCATGGCAGTCCAGAGATTCGGGGAGGAGCTGGCAGGGCGGGGCAGAGCAGGTGGCTCTGGCAGGGCGCTCCCAGCCCAGCTCTCGGGCTCCCATGGTGCTCACCTCATCCTTGTACTTGGTGATATAGGAGTAGATCTCATGCAAGGCGCTCATGCTGTTGAACTGGCTCAGGTGCAGGCGGGACTGCTCTGCCAGGTATGCGCTCATGTCCTGGTCGCTGATGGCTGGCATCTTGGCGATGTCCGCATAGTACCTGTGGGTGAGTGGCCAGGTGGGCATATGAGCAGGGTCCGTGCTGGCCCCCAGGTCCCTGCCCCAACCCCTGCCACCTCCACCCACCTCTCCACCCAGCTCTTGTAGTTGGGGATGTCCTTGGCATAGAGCAGCTTGTTAGAGGGCGAGTCCTTGCCCAGCTTGTGCTCAGAAGTGGAGCAGGAATCCATGAAGGTCTGGGCCACCACCGACAAGCAGGCATCTGTGATGCTGTTCTTGTGAATGTCGAACACAAACTGCGGGTTCTTGATCACATTCACCCAGAAGCGCAGGGGCAGGCTGCAGGCGACAGGCCAGGTGCCGCTCAGATGGTGCCTCCACCCTCCACTCCCTCCTAAGCGAACTTGTGGCCTTCCCGGCTGGGAATCCAAAGTGGGCGTGGCTTTCCATGCAGACTGGGAAATGAGGCCCAGAGGTGCATAGTCCACGGGTAAGTGTGGACTGTCCCCTGCCACCCAGCCAGGGCTGTGCTGCCCCTACCACCTGCATCTCACGCAGGGCATCACGAGACAGCTGTGCTCAAATGCACTTGGTTACGTGAAGGCACGATGTGACCAGGCCCTCGGGGGCCCATTCCACAAAGCCACCGCCCTCCTAGGCCTGTGTGCTGGCTTGCACCCTTGGCTCCCGTGCTGAGATCTGCAGCTCAGGGGACCCATTCCTGCAGAGACCAGCCCTCTGTGCCCCAAGTAACACCTCAGGGACTGCCATCAGCTGGGTTGCCTGCTAGCACTGGCCACATGTGGCTGCTTAGCTTAAATGAAGTTAAGAACCCAGACCCTCAGCCACACCAGTGCCATTTCAAACACTCAGGAGCCACCACCCTGGACAGCACAGGTCTAGAATGTTCCACTGTGGCAGAGTGTTCTCCCAGACCATGCTGACCTGGAGACACTGCTTCCCTGGAGACCCCCCTGTCGCACTGTGCCCAACCAGCATGGCCCAGGAGAGGGGCTTTGTGACACTTCATCCCAATCCAAGACTGTGAGCAGCAGGCGGAGCTGGGACAGGGTGGATGGCTGCATCCCAGGTTTGGGAAGCAACACATGGGCCGGACAAGGCCAGGCTGGGGGTGGCTGCCGGCCCGGGAGCTGCTCACTACCTGTGGGCGGAGGTGGCAGGGACAGTCCAGGTGAGAGGGAAGCTAAGACAGTGGAGGGTATGCACACTGAGTGTGCACAGAACTGGCGGGAGACCCCGGCAGGATGCAGGGTAAGGAGGGGCACTTCCTAGTGAAACAGGGTCCAGCCACACAGGCGAAGCTGTCCACCTGACCCCAAGTGTGGGGGAGCAGTCCCACCCCAGAACTTCTGGGACATGCAGGTGGGGAGCCTGATGCACAAAGAGGGACTCCCTTGTGGCAGGCAAGGGTGGGGCTGTCTGCTGGGGTGGGGGCCACATACACAGCAGGGACCCACTCCAGGGGGTAGGGTGGGCCAACTGGGGCAGGGGGCCACAGATCAGAGCCTGGGGACCCTGAGTAAGAGTGAGGCCAAGGGCTGGCCTGCCTGCAGGGCAAAGAGGAAGCCAACACTGCCAGTCTGGGACCAGTGAAAAAGCAAGTCACTGTCCCAGAGGGAGGCCAGGCCAGAGGAAAGCAAGGGACTGGCTGGCCAGGGAGTCAGACACTCTGGAGAGAGGCCACTTGGAGGCTGGGGTGCCTCTTCATAATAACCAAGCCCAGCCTCATAAAGCCCCAGCTGACACTGCTGTAGCTGCACACGCTACAGTCTAGGCAGGCTCTGCTCCATGCTCCACCTGCTCGGTGAGAACATGTCAAGTGGCTTGGCCTCTGCACCTCAGTGAGCAGGCTCAGGCCTGACCCCACACTGCAGTGGGGAGGCTGTAAGTTCCTTGTACCAGGGAGTACCAGGACTTGCAGTCCCTGTTGCCCTCATCACTGCAATGAGCTGGCTCGGGGCTGGTCCACTGTGCCCTGTTTCTCACACTGCAGCCCACACTCACGTCTGCACAGCTGTGCACACCCAGGGCCACTCACGTCTGCACAAAGTTCCTGCAGCAGTGGGAGGGGCTCGGCAGCTGCAGCAGAGGGCAAGCCGTGGGTCAACGGGCGCAGGCAAATAGGGAAGGCCAGTTAGCACAGGGCTGGCCTGCCACGCCCTGCTGGGTTGTGTCCCCACGCCAGGAAGCTCCAAGTGCAGGCTCCAGTCAGAACAGGGCGAGGGCCCTGGGAGCGCATCTGGCCTGGCCCAGTGGATGCTCCTCTGCCCCCTTGCCTGCCTGCCCTGCGTTACCAGTTGCTCTTCCAGGTGTGGCGCACGTCGGCATCGTGAATCTGGTGCTTGTCGGCCTGCTCGTCCAGGAAGTCGAACATATACTTGATGGCCAGCGGCAGGGCCGAGCCCCGGTGTGCTGTGCTGAAGATGGTCTCAAACAGGTCATCCACAAACTTCTGCAGTGTGCCCTGCGGGGGGCAGGCAGGGACACCGAGCTCCAGGGCTCTGCCTGGCTGTCTGCACCTCCTCAGTCACTGGGCAAGTGATCGCGGGAGCAGCGTGGGGGCAGAGTGGGGGTGAGGGCCTTGCTCCAAGTTTGCCGCTTTCTCTGAGACCAGCCAGCCCAGTGTCCCCTGCCCCCACTTTCCCGCCAGGCCCACCTTGGTGGCCAGCAGCCGCGTCAGGTAGATCTCCGAGACCATCTTGCTGCCGCGGTCGCCCTCACGCTGGTCCAGGTGGTCATGGTTCTTCACCAGGTGCCACAGCTTGGTGCCACTCTCCAGGTCGGGCGTGATCATGGGCGTGCGCGAGCGCAGGCTGTCCGGGCTGCTGGCCGTACGCAGCATGCTCTCTGCAGCACCGGGCTGTCAGCGCCCACCCTGGCTGGCAACCCCCTGCCTGAGCCTCAGTTTCCCCGGTTCCCTCGTCCTCAGTTTCTGAAAGCTGGGGATGGCACCCCCACCCACATGGGATTTTGGGGACAGCCGATGACACCACAGAGGTGACATAATTGTGTACAGACACACAGTCAGGTGAGGCGCAGCCTCCAGTATTGGAAGGCAAGGCCAAGAGTGCGAGTGACGGGCCTTGACACCGGCCCCTGGGTCCTCCTGTCCAGCTGCAGCGTGGGAGCCCGGGGGACATCCTGTCCAGGCTAGGGACCCACGTACTGCCCTCTTGCCCACTGCCTGGCCCCTCACCGTATCTGCTGAGGGACTTGGTGAAGGTGGAGGAGTTGGAGATGTTGTAGGCAGACGTCTGCTTGGGCACCAGTGCCACCGAGGACCCATCTGTCACCTGTGGGCAGAGGTCCAGGGAACTTGTGACCCACCAGGGCACCCCTGTACCACCACGCTCCCCACTCCCCAGCTGGAGACCCAAGTGACACCCTGGTGCCGTGCCTGGAGGCAGGCAGCCACCTCACTCACTCTGTGTCTCTCCACCAGGACAACCCAGGGCGACCAGGCAATCCCACAAGCCCAGCTCAGGGCCTGGGATGGTCCACACACGCATGTGACCCCCTCCCCTCCCCTCCCTGAAAGATCCAGCTGCTGTCCAGCCCACATGCTGCAAACACTGGCACCTGCACTGTGGGAACCCCAAGGGGAGCAAGGCCAGTACTGGGGTCAGAAGGGCGGGAGCCACCTGGTAGTGAGCCAGTGTGTTCAGCCTCTTCCAATCATTGTCAATCTTGGTGGTGACATCCTCATCCTGAAGGATGATGCGCGCCATGCGGCCCTGGCGCCACTCTGCGGGGAGGAGGGTGCTGGAGGATGGGGCCGTTGTGGCCCTCCTTCCCTCTTCCATCACAGCAGTGTAGTGGGACGGGGGCCACCTGCAGCTCTCAGCACCAGCACAGAGGAGGGGCACATCTCCAAACCTGCTACAGCCCCCCACAACCCGCCACAGCCCCCCTAACCTGTCACAGCAGCCCCACCCTAGGGGGGGTCTGCCCTGACTTCCCCAAGCCTTAGGTCCCCAACTCCTCAGCCTGGCACTGGGGTTTCTGTGAGGCCCCAGCCTCTTCAGTCACATCTGCTGCAGGACCCGGGGCTCTACCCTAAATCTGTCCCATCCCTTCTGGCCCTCAGTGGCTCTACCTTCCCCTCTCATAAGCCTGAGTCTCCCCCATTAGGCTCCAAGAGCCTACTGCCTCCCAGGGTGCACTGGAACCCACCATCTCCCAGAGTCTCTGCCCAGGGCAGGGCAGCCACCCTCTACACCCTGCTGGGGACTAGACAGCCCACTTGCCATTCCACTCCCCTCCAGACCAGCCTGGTGCAGAAGCCCGGCTGGGACTTCTCCACCAAGCTCAGTATTGGGTCAAGGCCCTGCCCCTCTGCTCCAGCACACACTCCAGGCGGTTGCGACCCCACCCACTCACCCAGGTCCATGTCTGCGGCCTTGGGCCGCTGGGAGTAGGGCACGCCCTTGTAGGCGGCATCCAGCAGCTTCTCCTTGGCCTGGGTGACCGTGTCACAGTCCAATCCCTTCACTGGCACCTCAGGCGCATTCTCGTTCTCAGGGTTCACACAGTTCAGGGTCTGCGGGCGGGGCAGGGCAATACAGCAGCTGAGGGGTGGGGGTGGGAGGCACCAGGGCACCCAGGACAGAGGGTGGCCACACTCACCAGCGTCTTATAGTCAATCTGCTGCCGGATGAGCTTGTCCTCACTCAGGGAGTAGCGTGCCTCACCCGTGATGGCATCGATGGGGCCCTTCTCCATCTGCTGCTTGATGGCGCAGTATAGCATAAACAGTGGCTCCCCGGCACACTCCTGCGGGGGTGGCAGCATGAGGCTGCAGCCAGGACCCCCAAGACTCCTGCCCATCCACCCCTCTGCCCATCCAGTGCCAGCCACAGTGTTCCCAGCAAGGAGAAATGAGCAGCGCTTCCCAACTCTTTAGGAGGAAAGTATAGCCTTGGTCCCAAAGCCCAGCGGACACTGCATGAAAATCAGGAAACAAAATATACCCGCCACCCCGCGAATACCATGTGAAAACCCCAAATTACCCAGGAGGTGCCGCAGCATGTCAGGGAACATGGCCCACATCAAGGAGGGCCGAGGCTCTCCTTGTGTTTCACCCAGATGTCTCCCCTTGTTTCAGCAGGATCCCCGCCCAGCCCCAGCCTCCCAGGGGCCTGTTCCCCAGCTAGAGGTGCTCAGGAAAGCTCCCCATGGCCTGCCGCCTGTGGTGCAAGCGGACCCCACACTACGCAACTGTAGGTGTGACATGTGACTGTGATCTGGCCTCTGTGATCTGCTGGCTGGGTGGAGGACCACCTGACTGGGCCCGCACATTACTTCAGGACACATCTACGGTGCATTATGGATGCTGACATACCCACCTGGGGAGGCTTGCCTACCCAGGGAAGTTCACCAGAACCCAGGCACATGGCACAGGGCCAGAAGCAAAGCCCTGGGCTCTCGGGGGGCATCCACTCTATCTCTACACAGTCCCTAGCCCTTGGCAGCATCTGCTCTGCCTCTGCATGGCCCTAGGCCCTCGCAGGGGCATCTGATCCCTCTACCCCTCACTCTCTGGTTCCCCATGCTATAGTCACAAGAGTCGCTTCCTGTCCTATCTCAGGACGTTTGCAACTCCTGCCTCTACAATCAGAAATTTCTCCCGGGTCTTCAAGGGCCCTTCTGGACACAACCCAATCTGCCCTTTTCAGAAAGGTTCTTGGGGAGCCCAGAGCACGTACCCTCCACCAATACCCTGCCATGTCCCCCCCACCATCTGCCGTTCTCTGAAGGATCCTTCGCACCCTTGCCAACCCCTCTGGAGTGGGAGCTTCCTGGCCTGCTTGCTATATCAGACTGCCAGCACTGGCTGAGCCTGGGCATGGGGCACCACAGACACTTGCTGGACGAATTGAGTGAATGGAGAGTTGTCCCTGAGAAAGGTTCATGTCTGGGCTTGCTGAGTTGGCTGCGCAGGCGAGGGCCGCCTAGAGCCTGGGCACAGGGTCTGCTGCAGGCCCTGGCTGCCCAAAGGCCTTCAGGTGTGTGTGCACCCCCATGGAAGGGCAGGCTCAGCAGCCCTGCCTCCTACCCAGCCCTGGCAAACGGCAGCTCTGCTCCTATAACCAGAGGCTCCAGGCACCTAGTTAGCATCTGCGGTAATTAGAAAGACAGCTGCTAAGACCATCCAGACCTTCCAACAACATGCTTGTCTTTGAAATTATGTTTCATTTGCAAACTTGGCTTCATTAAGTTAGCCACGAAGAAGAAGGACAAGGGGTGCAGATTCGGATGGACAGCCATTAATGTGACAGGAAGACAAGAGCCTTTGGGGGTTTCCCAAAGTCAGACACCTGCCTGAGAGTTCCTCAGAGAGTAAAAGGAGTGCAGCTAGTCTCTGAAGGTCAGGGGTGTGCAGCTATTGGTCCAAGGTCACACAGCAAGTAACTGGAGAAGCCAAGATCTAAACTCAGATCCATCTGACCTCAAAGCACCTGCCCCATAAAAGCCAGATGTCCTCAGAGAAGGCTCAGGCTGAGCCAGGCATTCACACTCAACCAGGAAGCAGGCCCCGCCCTGACTCACTCCTCCTACTTCTTCAGCAAGGCCAGCCTGGAGGCTGCAAGGGAGGTTCCAAGAGCTGAGAGGCCAGGGAAAAGGAATGCCCAGTCCTTTTCTTGTCGCACCACAGTCTCTTGTGCAGTGAGGGGAGAAAAAAAGACCTCAGACTCCTCTTAGCCCCAGTTATGAATGTGCAGAAACTGCCCAACAAAAAGTGCCACTTTTCTAATAGAAGGATAATACAGGCAGTTCAATAAATGACATTACGACAAGCACTTCTCCGTGGTGGGCATGGGGAGGTGGGAGGATCAAACCAGATCCCTACCCCACACCACACATAAATAAAAAATCATTTCTAGGCGACACATGAGCTTGAAAAGATGGGAAGCGTGTATGTTAAAAAGTTCCTATAATGTAGAAGAAATGACCCTAGAAAAACAAGCAAAGAATAAAAGTAGACATTTACAAACTTGGCTTCAAAGAAAAAATAAAAGCAGCCAATCAAACATATACAAAGATGCCTAAGGTGTTAAAGAAATGCCAACTAAGGCAACAACGCTACCAGTCTGTACTTTTCAAATGAGCAGGGGTAAAAAAGATCAATAAGACAAGTTCTATCCCAGGCCTGGGTAAGATTCTCAGATGATGAACTGGTATATTAGCAACCTTTTTTGTAGGATAACACAGCAGCATATATTACAATTAAACATAAGCATGCCTGATCACCTGCACTCACTCTTCTGGAAACACACTTAAACATGACCAGGCAAGAAAGACAACTGCATCCAAATCCAAGCTATGCAGCACCGGCCATCAGCAGTGCCACAGTTAAACAAATGATGGAACAGGCACGCCATGAAACACTATGCAGTTGATAAAAAGTAAGGCAAACATCTGTGTGTTCACCTGCAAAGGTGGACCTAACACTATGTCCAAGGTGAGGGCAGAGGGGGAACGAGGGACAGTGAAAATGTGTGGTACTAAAAAAATTTAAAACTCTCTCATGAGAAAAAAGGTTCGATACTAACATTCATCTTAATATTAAAAAGTTTAGTTTATTCATAATTGCTTCAGTTCAGACCCCGGCCTGGGAGGACAGGCACCAAAAGTGTGTTGGTCATTACCATCAGAACCGCAGAGGGGCAGGGAACTCACCCCTCCATTCTCCCTTCCAGGTTGTTTACGTGTGCTAAAATGGCATGGGTTACTTTTCTAGTTAAAGTTTTTGTTTCTAAAGACAGCAAGGAATAAAAAGGATTTGAGTTGTTTAAAAGAGTTTGTGTTCTCAAAAGTTCATCCACGTTGCGGCATGTTGGAATTTCCTTACTTTTCAAGGCAGAATACTATCCCCCTGTATGCACAGACCACATTTTGCTTATTAATTCATTTGTCGATGGACACCTGGATTGCTTCCCCTTTAAGTTGATGAAATAAGCCAGTTACGACAGGACAAACAATGCATGATTCCACTCATATGAGGTCCCTAGAGCTGTCAGATTCACAGAGAATGAATGGTGGTTCCAGGGGCTGGGGAGGAAGGAACAGGGAGTGTGTATTGAATGGTGCCAGAATTTCAGTTTTACAAGATGAAGAGTCATGGAGCAGGTGGCCATGGCCGACGCCGCTGTGAATTCAATGCCACTCAACTGTGCACTTAAAAATGGTTAAGATGGTGAATTTTATGTTGTGTGTATTTTACCATGATAAATTTTTTAAAGTTTGTGGCACACTAAAAAGAAATGAGCTATCAAGCTATGAAGATAAATAAAGGAACCTTCAAAGCAGATTATGAAGTGAGGGGAGACGGTCTGAAAGGCTGCAGTAATAGTACACGATTCCACTGTGCGACATCTGGAAAAGGCACAACTACGGAGACAATGAGATCAACGGGTGCCAGGGCTGAGGGGGAGGGAGGGATGACAGGTGAGCTCAGGGGATTTTTAGGGCAGCAACGCTATTCTGTGTGACACTATAATGGTGAATACATGACATCGTACATTTGTCCAAGCCTATAGCATGCACAGCAGCAAGAGTGAGCCCACATGCAAACAGGGGCCCTAGGTGGCAAAGATGTGTCTAGGTAGGTTCATCAACTGAGCCAAATACACTGCTCTTCTGGGGATGCTGACAGTGGGGAGAAGGTGCATGTGTGGGGCAGGGAACGCATGGGAAACCTCTGTACCTTCTGCTCAATTTTACTTCAAATCTGAAACTGATCTAAACAATAACATCCATCAGACAAAAACAAAAAATCTCAGATATGGTGGCAAAAAAAAAAGTCACTGGCCAGTCATGTGGATGGAGAGAGCCCTGGGCCCATCTCAGTCCCATCCAGGGGGTGCCCAGCTCCAGCGTGGCTGCCTGCACCTCTGAGCCGCAGGCCATGTCCTTGCGACCAGTACATGAACTCCCTTGCATAGTGAGGGGTCCTCCTAGAACTGAAGGGGGCAATCATGACCTAAGAAGATCTAACAGCTCTTGGCCCCTGCTTGCCCCATGCACTGGGACCCCACTAATAACGAGGGTGGGCTGGGGTCATGGGCATGGGCTGTGAAGCCCCCAACACACAGCCCACACCCCCGTGCCTGTGCCATCCCACCCAAATGGTCACCCCTGTCTCCCTCCACTCTGTGTCCCCTTCCTATGGCTCCCTCGGCCAAGGCTGGCCTCACTCTCCCTCCCTCCACTGCCCATACATCCCTCAGCACATGTCACAAATGTGCCCAGCCCTCCATAGAGCACCTTGCCCAGCTTGAGGACAACCCCCCTTGGTGCCCCGCTGCCACCCTCTCTGCTTGTGACACCCTGTGGGACCACACTCTGTGCTGGCTGAGGCTGGCCCCTATAGCCTGGCATGAAAGAGAATCCACACCCAACGTCAGTGTTTACAGGGGTTTGCTGGCCTGAGCCCTGTCTCTGTAGGTGTGGACAATCAGGATCAGATGGGAACCCAGGGGAGAGGTGTCCTTTCCACCTCACCCGGGGCACCTGCTGCTTTAGGCTCACAGAGCCCAGCTAACCCAGCGTGCACACACACCATGAGTTTTCATAGAACCATACTTTCTACAGGACATGCACTATTCCGTGTTACCCGCTTCCAGTTCTGCCTAAGAATGTTATCATCTACTGGGCACTTGCTAGGTGCCAGGGAATGCTATACACACATAAATGTCCCACCTATAGAGACCACCCAGAATGGACAAGTCCCGCCCGCCCCTGCCCATCCCCTCATCCACCTGGGTTCTTCTCCCCAGCAGCCTCTTCTGCCCAGGACTCTCTTCCCTCCATCAGCCTGGTCTTCAGACTCTGCTAGAATCCCACCCACCCTGCTCAGCCCTGCCCCGGCATGTCTGCTATATTTCCTGTCCACTGTCTCTCCCTGCAGCGAGGATGCCCAGCCAGGACTCTGCTCTGTGCAGGAATCTGTGTGCTGATTACCTGAGCTCAGAAGCATCTGGCTGTAGGAGGACTGAAAGCCCCACGAACCAGCAGAAACAGAGATGTCATCCCTGGATTCCATAAGGAAGCCAGGAGAATTGAACCCAGGCAGTCAGTGCCAGCCCTGACCCTTGACCACTGGGCTACATTGTCAGTCACCCTCACCCACAGAGCAGCGACGGGGACCACTGAAGCCAGGCGGGGAGCATGAACTTCACTACACACACCGGGCTCCTCCCATTTCAGGAGTGAGCTAACCAGGTATTCAGACTTTCCAAGAGAAGCCAGGTACCCAAGTCTGTGTAACTCCCAACATCAGAAATGCAGACAGCAATTCAACTGCTTACAGCCCCGATAAAGCCCACCCAGACCCCTGTCTAGCCTGGGCCCCAGCTGCAGCCTCTGGCCTACTCCCTGTTCCTATTCTGAGGATGACAGCATCCCTCTGCTGGGGGACGGGAGGGCTTGAATGGACAGCACAGAGGAAGTCCAGTAGGGCTACCTGTACCCATGACAGATGGTGGACCAGAGCCTTCAGACCCCCCCAGGCTGGCCAGGTACTGGACCCTCCTGAGCCCACCCCAGCTGCGGGCAGAGAGCTTGTATCTGAACTTCCACACCTGCCTTGGTGAGCTGTGCGACGGCTGGACAGCCTCAGAAGGAAGAAGGATGAAGAAGGGAGCCAGGAGCCAAGACCTGGCAGCAGCTTCATGTCCAGGGGCCTAGGCTGGGGCCAGAACTTGACCGAGACCCCACCTGCTGCCATTTTCCAGCACCTCCCACTGATCTCCGGCTCACTCTGTTTTCCCCTCCCACTGTTCACTTGCCTCTGACACCTGCTTCCTCCAGCCTCTGCTTACCTTGAGGAACTTATACAAGAGAAAGGTGAACCAGTTGGTCAGCATCTTCTCTGCCACTGACTCAGTCCTAGAGGACATAGAATATGGGCAGAGTGGCATCATTCCAGCTGTCCAGCAGGTACAGGGCCCCCGCAGGCCTCACACCACAGATCCCAGCCCACCCTGCCCAATTTCCTGCACCACCGAAGGCCAGGTCTTGAAAGGCACCCACATGAGTGGGCAGCAGGGCTTTAGGGACTCTCTTGGAGACCCCAGCCCTTCACCCAGAGCCCAGGCCTGTGAGTCTGGAAACTCAGGCCTGGGTCCTCACTATCAGTACCTGGGGAGGTGGCAGCTGAGCCTCAGAGGCCAGGTGAGTCCTCACTACCCCAGTATCTCTGGGCCTGTGAGACTGGCGGCCCATCCAAAGCTGCACGCACGGGACTGAGCCCCTCCACCCCAGTGCCCCCCAGGCTCACCGGCGCAGCAGTAGCTTGGGGTGGTTCTTGCTCTCCAGGTTCTTCTCGATGAGGTCGGACAGCAGCTGCTTGAGCACGCCGGTGGCATATTCCATCTCGCCCTGCAGGGCCGTCATGATGAGTGAGGCCACATTCCCACGGTCGCGCATGGAGAAGCTGCGCTGTGCCTCCAGCGTGCGGATGAAGGTCAGCAGGAAGTGCTTCTTGGTCAGCAGCTGCCCGAACAGTGTCAGTGACTTCTCCACATTGGCCTGCACCTGTGGGAGCACATGGGGCTCGGACCACAGAGGAGGACCCAGCCCCAGTCCCCACAGCTGGCTGATGAGAGCTATCCAGGCCTGGTGGGTGCGGCAGGGCCCCCGCCAGAGGACAGGCCTGGAAGGCAAGTGACAAGTTGCCCTGACTTCTCAGCTCCGCAGGCCATTCCCAAGCTCCACCTGTCCTTAGAAAAATGGACTTAACCTGCCACCACTGTCTGCTGCCATCAGGGCAGCCCTGGCCAGAGCCCCTGTGGCAGCCTGAGAAGCCCACCACAAGCAGATGTTACAACCAGCACAGCTGGGTATAGAATGAAAGGGGCTGTTCCCACCACCCTCTCTGTGTTTGGGCCCTCTGAACAGCAAACCCCCCTAGCTGGCCTGCAGCAGCTCAAAGGAACCCCAACTCACTGCCCCCATCCACTGGGTACCAGGAGTGCATGCCTACCATCTCCCTCTGCCTGGACAGTAATAACCAATGCATAGCCAGCCTCTGCATCTCATGGATGAGGACACAAGTTTGGAGAAAGGAAGAGGTTTGATTAAGTCCACACTGGAGGTAGGAAAAAGGAGTGGAGTGCAGGCATGGCTGGCTCCAGGGCCCCTACTCTCTCTCTTGCTCATACTAAGGTTTGTCAGGGCAAGATGTTTCCTACTAGGCAGTACCCAGAGGCCACCAGTGATACCAGGCTCCCAGCCAAGGCCAACAGGTATCAGGCAGACAGGTAACAGCCCAGGCAGAATACAGTCATGGCTGAGAGAGGCAGTCTGACAGACACAGCAAATGGAGGCACTGAGAGAGAGATACAAGCTGGGAAGATTGTGGTGCCCCTCGTGGCAGCCCAGGAACAGGATGGCAGCGCTCAGCCACAGGCAGCCCCAGGCCCAAGGCAGGAGGGCCTGCTCAATTTCAGCTCAAGAGGGACTTTCCACCAACAGAGCCACCCCAGGGGATGTGGGCTCCCCAACATCCAAGGCACAAGGTTGAGGGGGCGCCCTCTGCTGAAGAGTGACCAAGCTAACCTGCTGAGCTCCTGGCTGTGGCTTGCCGGGGACTGGCTCCTGGCCGGCCTGCTGCTAGGGGCACATTGTGGACATGGGGGCCAGCCCTCTTTTCCCTTGCTCACTTGCTGCCAATGTCTATGGGGCAAACCCCGACTCTCTTGAGGCCCTGGTAATATGCACAGCCATCCCAAACTGCCATAACAGACTTTGTATGCAGAACCACTCAGAAGACCAGGCCAAGGAAGCCACAGGCGGGGCCCCCAACAGAGGCAGGCCCGAGACCACAGAGGTGTCTGAAACGTAGGCTGAAAGGTGGTTTACTGGGATGAGGCCTGGCATCCCATGCAGGCCCTTGGGGCCAGACCCTCCTCTTGCCCACTGGAGGCACTTCTTGGAGCAGAGCCACGCTGGCCATGCCTGTGTCCCAGACCCAGGACTCAGGGCCCCATTGTGCTGGCCTGGCCTTTGTTCTGCCTCCCAGTACCTGCTCCCCACTTGGCTGAGCCCAGCACCCCGCAGACCTGGACTCTCCTCCAAGCTGCCCCATATCATACATCAGCACCCAAGGAGCACCAAAGGTAGAAGACAGCAGCTGCCTCTGAGTGCGTGTGACACCAGGACCAGCCATCCTACCTCCATCTCCTTGAGCACAGGGTGGTCCTCGATCCCAGGAAAGAGCACCCGCATGGCGTATGTCCGGTAGTCAAGGAAGGGGATGCCTGCACCGTCCAGGTCATTGGTCAGCTCATGGATGTCTGTCTGCAGCTCTGCAAAGGCTATGGCCAGATGCAGCATCAGGGGCAGCATGCCCTGGTGGCTCTTCGCTGCCCAGCTCCATGCCCCAACCCTTCCCACTCTTGAGGCCTACATCAAATCCTGGCTCTGACACTCACTGGTTTCATGATCTTAAGGAAACTACTGAGTCTCGGTGCCCCATCTTCCCCAATCCTAGCACAGGGATAATAACTCTCCCCTGCCAAGTTCCCACAGGATCAAACAAGACAGGAGCAGAGACAGTATCGGCACCAGGGGCAGGCAGGGCAGGGCCTCCTGCATCTCAGACACTGGTAGTTAAGCATAGGGCAGCTATGGAGTTCGGGCTCCTTCCACCCACTGTGAGGGGTTAGGGTGAGGTCTCAGGGCTGTAGGCTATCCCCAAGCCCTCAAAACCACTGCATGCACATCTCGGGTCTGGTGCACCCTCAGAGTGGCCCACCCTGCTCAGAGCCAGCTCTGACTCTGTCAGGAACAAAAGCAGGCAGGGCAGTGAAGCAGGCCCTGACAGAACATTCCAGAGCTGTGAGGTGTCAGCCCTACGGCAGCCCAAGGATCGGGCTATCTGATCAGGAGCCAAAGGAATGCCAGGCAGGCTCTGGGGGACATCTGACAGGTTTAATTAAGAGCTGGAGCCTTCGTCTCCTGGGGACCGCTGCCAGGCGTCTGGTTATCTGCACCTGGCTGGCCCGGAGCAGCCACCAACCACCGCGCCCACATACGCCAGCCTCGCCGGACAGCCAGTCTTAGCAGGTGGGAGCACAAGGGAGGCCCAGACCACCTGCCTCCCACCTGGCCCCAACACACACCTGCCTCTGGTCCCACCAGGACTGCCCAAGAGGAAGGGTGAACCTCAGCCCACCACGGGGCCACTTAAGTTTGTCTGGGACTGAGTGGGCTCCCAGGATGCAGGACTTTGCATTTTAAGACTGGCTGAGTCCTGTTCAAACAAACACCCTAACCCAGTGCAGTCCCGGTGCAGTTCATGACAACTGCATGCTGAAGCCACATGGCTGAGGTCCTACCCTGCAGCAGGAGTGCTCCTAGTATCTGCCTCTAGAGCCATTAACATGTGTGAGTTACTATCTGCAAATGCTCAAAATTTCGCCCAGCATGGAACAGATTTCTGTCACTCACACCTGCCCTGGATTAGGAGGATGGTATGTCCTGACTCCCGCTATAGACATCTCCTCAAGGATGAAGGTCAGCTCAGGCCAAAATCTGCATGTGCCCAGGGACTGCCAAAGCACAAGGGCTCCCCATTGCTGTATGGCAGAAGCACCCCTCTCTGCCACTCTGCGGGCACCGCCAACCCACCATACTCCCAGAACCCCGGGAAGTAGGCACTGTCACCACGCCCACTCTGCAGATGAGGCCCTCTACAGACTGAGGCACAGAAGGGTAAGTAGCCACCCCCAGCCTTACAGCCCAGCTGGGATACAAATAGTGTGGCCCTGGGTTCTGTGTCTCAAGCAGCACTCCAAGGAGGTGGTACCTGCTGCAGGGCCAGGTCCTGGTCAGACACCTGCCCACTGCCCTGGGACCAGGCCTGGCACAGCAAGGCTATCAGGAACGTTGTAAACTGAGCTGACGTGGGGTGGGGGGTTGAGGGTGGGTGTGGGGATGGGCCAGGGTCTGGGTGGCAGCTGCCCCAGTGAGCCTTGGCCCCAACAGACCTTCCTTGCACTCGAGGGCCACGCGGGACTCCAGGTTGTCCATCTGGAGCTGCAGCCGCTTGAGTGTGCGGTCGGCGTCTCGTGACTTGCGCTTGTAGGCGATGAGCACGGCCACAATGACCAGCAGCAGAAGACCTCCGCCCCCGCCGATGCCCACGATGGCAGGCAGCGTCAGCAGGCTGTCCGAGTACACCTGCAGTGTCCCTGGCGAGAACTCAAAGCCGCCAGCCCGCACCTGCCGGTGGGTAGAGGCTGCTCAGGAGTCACCCATCTTTTCACAAAGCTTGGGAGCCCCTCCCGATGGGCGAGACCCCCCACCCACCTGTGGGTAAGGTCCCGCCGACCGGCACAGAGTGGTCAACAAGGCAGGGACACTGGGACCCAGGGCAGGTAACCAGCCAGCCAGCAAAGCACTGGCATGGCAAGAGCTCAGGGTGGGCAGGAAGTCCGGTGGGCTTAAGGAGGCGGCGGGCTGAGGGCTAAGTCAGGCCTGCACTGGAGCTGGGCGCCCTCTGAGCTAGGGGTGAGTCTGGGGCAAGGTCAGAGCTGGGGCTGTCCTAGCAGGGCAGGGTCCACAGGTGGGGCATGACTCTCCCAGCTCTGCACCCAGGTGGGCAGACGCACCGTGACCTTGTGCTGCCCCGTAAGGTTGGGCGCCTCGCACAGCAGCTGCGTCTCCGACACGGTGAGGGTGCAGGGTGTGGAACCAATGAGCACTGTGTAGTTGAGTCGGGAGTTGCCGGGCGCAGGCGGCAAGAGGTTCCGGCCCTGTAGGAGGCGAGGGTGAGCCAGAGCCCAGGATGAGGGGCCTCTTCCCTGGCCTACAGGCGAAGGTGACCCACCTTGAGGATGAGTGGGGAGCTGGGCTTCAGCTCCAGCAGGCCAGTGGGGCTGAGCGGCTCCAGTACGGGGTCAGGGTAGTAGACGAAGGAGGAGGAGTTGAGCACAAGCAGGGAGCGCACGTTGTCCATAACGAAGCCCAGCTCATCCGGCCGCTCCCCGAGCTCCGGTGGGCTGCGCACAGGGTTGGCCACAGACGGGGCACGGCACACCATGATGGTGTCATTGTACACCAGGCAGCCCTGGAGGCACAGGGTGGGGATGCTGAGCGGGACTTCCTCCAGTGGCCCGACAGCTCCCCATGATAGAGCCCCTGGCCTGGGGGCCACCTGTTCCCTCCACGGATGATGCCAGGTACCAGCAGGGCAGGTCCTGGGCCACCGACCCCACGGGGACCAGGGGCATGTGGTCTAGAAGATGCCAGCAGACCAGAGCCAGACTTTAAACCCACCAGGCAGGACAGGTGCCTCCCCAAGGGCCTCCAGACACAGCCAAGGTTAACACAAGCTGGGGAGAGGCAGGCCCAGGGAGAGGGGCATTCCTAGCAGGAGCCCCAGCCCAGGTGAAGGCCTAGACCAAGGTGGGTAGCTGATGGTAGGCACTCACGTTCTCCCTCTCAATGCCTCCGTACTTGGCCCGGATTCGGGGTTCACGAACAGTGGCCAGGTTTGTGCCCGTGACTGTTAGGAGGGTCCCACCGCTGGAAGAGGACAGAGTAGGGGGTCACCAGATGATAGTGGAGCCCAGCGAGCTGGAAACATGGTCCACAGCTCAGTCAGGCAAAACCTGCCTTCCCCAAAGATGGGAAACAGGTAAAAGTTCTTGGCAAGGAGTGCTTCCTGGCAGGATAGCACAGACACGCAGGAGCGCCACCACCAAGTGCCTGGTGAAGAGCTCCCGGCTCGGCGCTGCTCTCAGCAGCTGAGGACAGGGAAGGGGCATTGCTGGGCCCTACCTGCTGATGCTCCACTCGGGGTCGATCCTCAGGATGGTGGGGTCCTCGGTGTAGTTGTACTTCACCTCGGGGTTGGTGAGCTGGGCACGGTTGATGTTGATGATGATGGGAGCGCTACCAGGGCTCTGCCCGGGTGGCGTCAGACACCGGATCTCACGGGAGTTCCTCCTGGAGAGGCCCAAGTAGGGCAGTGAGGAGAACACAGGTGGCACCCAGGCATGTGGAATGCAGATGCACTGAGGGACAGGGTGCCATCTGTCATAGGTACTGCCTTGGGTGGCTGTGTACTGTCACTGCCACTTTCCTTCCCAGGGCTGCGTATGTCTGTCCTACCCTCGCCCCAGCCCCCTTAGGCCTCCACTGTCACCCAGCTTGGCATTTGGGACCCACCCTGCCACCTCCCCAGGTCTGCTTTCATCATACCCTCCCTGTCGCCCACATCCCCTCCAGGTGATCCTGGCCAGGGCTCCACACCCACCAGGCCTCTGCCTCCCTAGAAGCAATAGGCAGCAGGCCCACCCCACACATGCCAGGCTGGAAGGTGGCCTCACGATGGCCTCCCTTTGTCCCTGAGGAGGGTCAGTGAGACTAAGCCCTGGCCCCAGCCTTCCCTGCCTGTCCCAGGGCTACCCTCACTCAGCCTGTGGTCCGAGTGCCGGGGGCCCAGCATCCATTCCTACTACCCTGGGCCAGGCAGACACCTTCCCTCTTGGCACCTGTCCCACTGGGAAAAGCTGGCCCTATCCCTGCATTCTGGGGGCTATGAGGAGACTAGGTGAGCTGGCCTGGGGTGGGGGTCACGGGGACATCCCACTGGGCAGGCAGCTGGGCACGGCCCGCACCTGGGTCTGGACCCTCAGCTTTTCCACCACTGCCAGGAGCGCCACAGCCACCAGGTCCCCTCAGCTGCAGACACCAATGATTAGTCTGATAACGGGTAATTACCACAGGAAAATATTTAAAGGGACGTTCCATTATCATCCCTAATCTAAAATTATCCACTTCAAGCCTCAGGGCTTTGTTAAGATTTCTGTTTTCCCTCTTAAAATTTTTTTTAGATACTTCTTATTTTATACCCAAGGGATTTCCCTGACAGGGAAGAACCAGGGCAGAGGCAGCCAAGTTGCCCCGCCCCCAGAGACAGGCCCCGCCCCTGTCACCGCCCAGTCCTCCCACTCTGGAGGTAGCCGTTTCCATGGTAATCTTGTCCGCCTCTGGGTTTCACAGTGATCACACTAGCCAGGCTCTCCATAGCCCCGTTGCCCAGGCAACAAGAGGGGGCATGCAACCATGTGAACCAGGAGGAGGGGCAGCCAGGCCCCACCCCACCTGCACCCCGTACCAGGAGAAGGAGCAGGGCCGGCCGCCGACCGACACAGCCACATCACTGCCTGCGTTCAGGTGGCTTCCCTCGATGCCAATCCAGGTGCCCCCTGACAGAGGCCCTCGGGAGGGGCTCACACGATAGAAGGTTGGTGTCTGCAGGAAGAGGGAACTTGCTGGAACTCTCAGGGAACTCCCCCTTGGGTCACATGGGGGCAGGCCTCACTTGGCCCGCTTATAGCTCCAGACAGCTCCCCAGACCAGAAGTGCCCAGGAGCTGCACTCTAGAGCCAGTACTCCTGGGCTTCTCAGGCACGGCCCAAGGTGGGCCAGGAGCCCTGGAGCTGGCCCAGACACAGGAAGGGAGGGGCAGCACCCAGGCCATGGAAGAGCAGCGGCAGAGCATGGCCAGACAAGGGGCCATGGGGAGGTACAGGAGCACTCAGCTGCCGCTGCCGGACACCCTCTCAGAGCAGCAGGGAATAGGGGGAGAGGGAGAGCGGCAGACTCACTACGAAGGTGAAGCGCTTGGGCGACAGAGCACGGTAGTGTGGTGAGCAGTCCCGAATGCACACCTCCACCAGGGCGTCGTGGGCCCGCACAGAGCTGGCATCCCCGATCTCACAGACGATCCTGTGGGCAGGCGGGCCTCAGGGGCTGCAGGAGCCCCACCCTGTCCCACCCCATGTGCTCCCCAGGCCGCACTCACTGCTCAGCACTGATGTACTCGCTTTCTACAGGGCTACACAGCACCTTGCCCACGCGCACGCCCAGACGCACGTCCTCGAACCTCAGGCCCAGGTTCTCCCCTGTGATGGTGAGCCGCGTGCCGCCCTGTCTCGGGCCCGTCTCAGGGGACAGCTGCGGGAGGAAAAGGCTAGGGTGCAGGCATCCCGCAGGGTGTAGGATGTGGGGCAGGGTGGGGCAGGGCGTGGGGTGTGGGGCAGGGCTAGGGACCCTACCTTGAAGATCTTGGGGTCGGCGCAGCGACTGCTGCCATGACGTGCGTGCATCCAGGACACAGGTGTGTCGGCCGTGCAGTGGTGTCGTAGGGAGCAGCGACGCTCAGCCACGCACCATCCGCACTCGAAGCGTGGGTCAGCCTTGAGACAGAGTCCACAGCTTTCCCGCAGGGCCGGGCACTTGTAGAGGTGTGCTGCAGGGAGGGGTGTGGTCAGCTCAGGCCTGCCCGCCACCCACCCTGCCGGGGCGTCCACTCACCCTGGATGTTCTGTGGGTTGTCGATGATGAAGTTGCCATTCCACACGACCGACAGGTTCACCGGCAGGTCGCTGATGTCGTTCCCCTCGTAGGAGTACTGTGGGGTGGTGGCGCGGTCAGGCTCCCCAGCTAAGCAGCCTCCAGGCCTGAGCCTGACACCCACCAAGCCACCAGCGTGGCCAGCTCAGGGGGAAGTTTCTGCAGCCACAAAAGCTCCCTCTTCACCCTTACCCTACACAGGGCTTCCTTCCCAGCTCTTTCCAGCCTAGCAACCATATGAAGTGCCCTTCCAGGGGAACCTCTGTGCTTCCCACAGTCACCTCCGTGGCACCCCCTTGGAGACCACCTCCAACCACAGGCAGCCTGTGACCACTCCCTGCAGTTAGCCAGGCTGGAAACCAGGACTCCAAGCTGGCCCTAGAACATGCATCAGGATGCTCTGTGAACCTCAGTATCTTTGCTGACTAGGCCAGGACTGCCCTACCTTGAGGTGGGAGATCTGTGTCCCCAGACTGGGGCAGAGAAAGGCAGGATCACTGTCAGGTGCAGCCCTGCCCCCAGTCTCCTCCCCCACAAAGCAGGGCTGGGCCCATGGGAACTGCCCCTCCCGGGGAGCTTGGCCAGGGGTTCCAGCTGTGCCCCACTTTCTGCTGTGAATGACCTCAACTCTTCCTGTCTGGGGCGGTGCAGGGAGCCTAGCGTCTCCAAGGGGCGGCCTGGCAATTCATCATTATTTTATCTGTAGGAATTTAATTGGATCCTATCAAATTCCCTGATACACCCTCTTCCGTTTAAATACAGTTGAAGGGAAGATTAATGTGGACCTGGTGAGAAGGGAGGATGGGCAGGAAGACGCAGGTGGAAGATGCAGGGCAGACAAAGAGTTGGTGACAGAGCAGAAATGTCTGGAAAAGGTGGACAGCAGAGGGAACTCCAGATAGCTGTGGTGGCCAGGAGTGACCTTCATGGCTGACCTGCAGCCCACCCTCAGGCTGCTCCCAACACAAATCTGGGGGCTCTGAGCAGCTACTGAGACAGCACAGGCCCCCTGCGGCCCACTTGCCCACATGACCCAGGCACACCTGAGGGGCATGGCAGTGGCCAGGGGAAACCAGGAGTGGCTTCTGACTCAACAGAGATACACATGAGCATGTGCACTGCCCTTTGTGAACAAGCACACACCCTAGGACCCAGGGCTGTGAGGGTAACTGGCCCATTCCAGCTCACAGCCCCCAGCCCCTGCCCTGGCTGCCTCACCGAGGAATTCTGGCACTGCAGGCTGGAGCTGTTGAAGCGCAGAGCAGTGACACGGGCAGGGCTGCCCGGGATGTGGAAGAGGCACTCATATCCACGCTGGCCTGACTGTGGCTGTGGCAGGTTCCGAGCAGCCAGGGTGATGGGTTTTATCACTCCTACTGGCACATAGATCTGGGTGGAGGGCAGGATCTGTGGGCAGTCCTGGGGACAAGATGAGTTTGGTTGAGCCCGGGGTGGAGACCAGTGAGCAAGGTGCACCCCACTGTGCCCCGGATGTGCACTGGGCCTATGCTGCTCAAGCCAAGCATCACTGTGCCCATTTTATGCATTGGCAAAGCGAGGACCGCAGAGACAGCTGGCTGTGACAGTAGCTACATACCATGACCAGACAAGCTGTGTTACCTCTGGCCCCTGAACGCCCTGCCCCATGTTCTAGGACCCCCCACCAATCCATAGACCAAAGGAGCACCATCTGGCCGGCAGCTGAAAAGGCCCTAGAGGTAGAAGAGAGTGGGGCTCTGGGGCTGCAGGCTCTGTGCTGGGTGCCCAGGGAGTATGTAAAAATAGCCAGAGCCCAGCAGAAAAACAGGCCTGGCCTCTGGGGCCAGCATTTCAGCAACAATAACTGATGCAATGGCCCAGCTTCCTTGCAGCATGGCTGCTGCTGGCCTCAGGAGATGGCCCCTTGGGAGCGCCACTAAGCTGGGCTTTAAATAGCGATGCTGAAAACAGGCTGTAATCCCCAAGCCCTGCAACAGTCCCCAAGGCGGGCAGGCCTGGGCCCAGGTCTGCAGAGATTTTCCAGGACCCAGGAGGGGGCCTGGACTCTGGCCTGGCCCCTCAGGAACTCCAGGGAAGCAGAGTTAACAAGGCCTAGCTAGGCAAGCTGATCTCTGAGTCTGCAGGGATGCTCCTGTGTCCACTGGGGAGAGGTAGGTGGTGGCAGCTTGCAGCTAAGGCCACTGGCCCCAACCTGGGGGCTGCACTTGCAGCTGTGTGTTGAGACCACAGCCACAGCAGGAAGGCACTGGCACACACAGTGGCCATACCTATGCCACACCTCCCTGGCAGGCTGAGGTACATTCACTGACTCTGCACGCTGAGGCTTAGGCTGGCGTCTCACTGTGACATGGGCCACTCTGTTACTGGAGGGCCCCAGCCATGAAAATGGGTGGCTCAGGACACTGAGACTCTTTTCAGTCCACGCTAGGCTGCCCTTGAGCCCCCTGGAACAGTCAGTCTGAAACCAGGTAAGCTGCCCCTCCATGCACCCAACCAGAAAGTGCCCAGAGGAGCCCAGGCAGCTCAGCCTGCAGTAAGCCAGAAAGCAACTATGGTGAGGCCTGGGCTTCTACCAGGCTCCTAAGTCCAGAAAACCTCTTGGCCAGTAGCAGGAGACTCGGAGCTGGCTCATGCAGAGTGAGGTCTCAGTCCGGGACCATCCCTGGAACCTAGGACCCAGCCAGGGCACACCACCACCCACCCCAATACCAGTGTGAGTGTGTGGGCCGGCAGGCATCGAGGCCAATGTGGCTGGCCCCTACCTGCGCGCCCCACCATGCTGAGGCTGGCCTGTCCCTTCGCCACCCCTGCCCTCTGTGTGCCCATCGAGGAAGCTGACTGGCTGCCTGGGCCACACCCTGTCCTCTCAGGTACTCCTGCATCCCCACCCCATCTCCTCCCAACACCCAGCTGGGTGAGAACCCGGGAAGCTCTGGACCCATGCGGCCCACTCAGTCAGGCCTGCGCTGAAACTCCAGTGATCACCTGACTCCTGCTGGCCCGACTCTGACAGGAGGGCCACAGCGGCATGGGTCTCCTGGGATCAGTGACAGTTCAGAGCCAAGTCCAGTTGTCCCCAAAGGCTCTGATTACAGCCTTTTCCCCAGTGCATAGTCTCCCTGGTAAAAGGCTGGAAATCCCTCTGGGAAACTCTGGGGGAAGATTAACAGGGTGCGTTTTGCCAGCGTACCAGCCTACTTCCTCAAGGGACCCAGGCCTCCCCTTTTGCAAGGGGGTCTAAGACTTGCTCGGGTCTGAATGGCGGGGCATACAACTGTTATGTGGAGATGCCAACCACACCCCTCCTTTTCTGCAGAGCCCAGAAACAGGCATTCCTAAGAGAAAGTCCCAACTCTGAAAGTGTCTCATGAGCTCTGCTTCAGTGGGGGCTCCAAGTGGGAGCCCTGAGGCCCTGGTACACAGCACCAGCTGCCTCCACAGCCCCAGCCCAGTGGCCCTTCCCATCAACACGCACAGGCTACTCCATCTTCAGACAAACACACAAACCCCAGCATGCAGGCAGGCACAAGAGACTACAGAAATCCCTCCCAGCATGGGGGCAGGGGGCAAGGGGAGGTGGTGGCCCTGGGGGTTAGATCCGGCTGTTTCAGCAAGGACCTGGACGTAGTACGCTCCTGTCTTAGGAGGTGGCCCAGGGAACTCGCCAGAACCAGAGACAGGAAGAGGGCTTGCAAGGGAGGGGACTGCACTGGCCATTGCCCCAAGTCCAGGAGGACTCACGTCACGCCCCTTAGGAACGGCTACATAAAAATCTAGGACTCAAGCTAAAGAAAAGAGTAAGTATTTGTGGAGAGAATCCATTCCCCACACAGCCCCTCGACCCTACACGTGCCCCCAGCCCAGCCTGGCCTGCTCTGCCTCCCCACGCCCTGAGCCACTACTCCAGGGCCCACTTCCTCTACTCCCCAAGGGTGCTCCAAAGTTCCTGGCATGAATAGGGGAGGGCTCAGGGAAGGCTGCCACTGAGGAGCTGGGCTATCTCAGTCCCAAAACCACCCCAAGCTGCCCAGGGCCCTGCTGCCACCCCTGACAACCACTGTGCTGTGCCCTCACCCGCCCCTGGGCTATGCACAGCACCGGAGCCAGTACATCTGCATGTCATCCCCACAGTGACTCACACCCAGCTCTCCCTGGCCTGAGAGACCCCAGGACCAGCTCCCGCCTGAGACTCTACCATGGGCTCTGCATGCACCCCAGGACACCCTGGCCCAGCTCCTTGGGCAGTCCATACACCCAGGGAAGGCCCCCACTGTGTCCTTGGCTCCTGCACACCCACTGTCACAGGCAGTCACCCTGACACAAGCACCGTAGTCCTTGTTGCTCTGGGCTACCCTCCGCTGCCGTCCTGTCTCTTGATGTCATGCCAGGGAGCAGAAAAGTCCAGTCCAGAGGGTGACCCTGGGGGTCAGGGGGCCTCTGTGAAAAGGGACCCAGAGGAGAGGGGGCCACCATGCCACTTCCTTGGCCCCTAGCCCGGCAGGAAAGTGCAGCCCAGCTGTAGACACCAAGGTCTCCCTGGCAAACAGAGCCTGCCCCCTCCAGCCAAAGGGCGTAGTGTCCACAGCAAATGAAAGGGACCTGGCTGCAAGTCCCGGCTCCACACCAACAGCTGGACCTGGTTGGGGTAGGGGCCGCCACAGCTCCAGCCTTAGCTTCTACCACTCAGCGCCCGTGGGCCCTGGGTCCTGCCTGTCCTGGTACTAAGTGCCTCAGGTTCTAGAAGGAAGAGTCTGCCATTCATAAAGCCAGTGCCTTGCCCAGCCCGGAATAATTACTACCTAATTACTAGCAATTACCACTCAGCGCCCAGAGACTTCAGAACCCACCAGACTCCAGGTACACTATGTCAGCAAGGTCCCCTGCCCAGCCAGGCTCCCGAGCCCCAGGCTTTGCCTGCACCTGTTCTGCAGCCTGACAGTGCCCCACGTTGTACCCAGGAGCCTGTGTCTGCAGCCCCCACAGAGGCCCAGGGGCAGAACTTGTCTGAGGCTTCTCCCCTTTCCTGAGGGTCACAAAGGATGCCTCGGGGCCACCAACAAATACCACAGGCCTGGTTTCAGGCCAAAACAGTGACCCCCACAGGCCTCCCGGCTGGCATCCAGGGTCCCCTCGCTGACCCAGGTTGGTGGTACGGGCACCACACGCCAACATCCCAGTCACCCACAGGCGCTCCCCGGGTCAGGCCTTGGGTGACACCCAGATGGACTGTCTCAATCCAGTTCTGCTCCACTTCTGAAAACCTAAGCCCCACCCTCACCCAGCCTTACCTCGGACACATTGACACGGCCCTCCAGGAAGGCGCAGTCAGCTGCGTTGTGTGTGCACACATGGCGGTATTTGCACCAGTGGCAGGGAAAGGAGCCATTGACACAGGACAGGCAGCTGCAGGGAGAGGGTGGGTGCTGAAGCCTGGGGACCCGCAACCACGCAGGGTCACCTGTGATCACAAGGACACCACGCTGCCCCTGCTGGTCTTCATAGTGCCACCTCAGGGGCTTTGCACTGACTGCTCCTGGCCTGGAAAGTTCTTCCGGCCTCCCTGACAGCTGGTCTCGCCTGCCCACCCTCCGATGCCAAGCTCTCTTTCTTCTTTGCTGCTTTTTCCTCCAGAGCCTTGATCACAACCTGACTGCCAGTCAGGCATGGCTACTTACACCAGAAATCTGTCAGTGCAACTAAGGAACTTCATTTTAAGTCTTGACTCTTTTTAACAAACTTAGATTTAAACTGTAACAGTATGTGCTGCCACGGAGCTGGACAGGGCCGTGCACGTCACCTCCCTGGCCAGAACACAGGCTCGATGGGACAGGAGCTTATCTGTTTCCCTCTGACGCACCCCAGGGTCTGCCAGGCTGGCCACTGCAGGTGCTCTGCCCACAACGCAGCCTTGCACAGGGCTGACATCTCGCCACCTCAACAGCCTCCAGGAAGACACCCCCTCCATCTACTCTCCAGGATCTTCTGACCCGCCAGCTCCCCCAACCACCCTGCTTCTCCTGCAGCCCTTGGCCCCCTCCAGGCCTCTGCCCCAGAGGTCCCCCACCCCACCTGGGACGAGACATGCTGCATCCTTGAAATCAAAAGCCTGCCTGGCTCACAGCAGTTGCTCTACAAAAGCTGTGACAGAGTCCATCTGTGAGTCAGTCAACAAAGGCATGCCTGAAAAGCCAGGCACCTCCTGTCTCTGAAGCCAAACTCTACTGCCTCAGCCTGAGCCCTCTGGGTCAGGGAAGGAGTGAGGGCTCTCCTCTGGGCTCGCAGTGGGACTCATGGAAGGCCCCCAGCTCCTCCCATCCTTCCTCTAGGGCTGGGGGTGCTCACAGACAAAATGGGCAGTAGGTATAGCAGCTGCCTCCCAGCCACGATCCCTGGGGACCTGCATAGTGGCCAGCACCAACCTAGGGGCCTGCATAGTAGCCAGCACCAACCAGAGGGGACCTGGACGCTACACTGTCTGGCAGCAGCCTGCCACACACCAGAAGCAGCAGGCACCCAAGGGCCATCTCTGGGCCCCTGCCCAGGCCCTCAAACCAGCCCTCAGCCCTCCACACCAGTACCCATGGGCCACTGTCCATACCACTGTGCCCTCGAAGCCATACATGGCTGCCTGGGGCCCTGCGCGATCCCTGTGGGGTAGGCACTGCTGCCTACTCTGACTGCTGCTACCTGGTGCACCTGCCCTGGCCTCAGGCACCCTCCGCGCTAGTGGCCTTGCCCTGGCTGGCTCCTCTACCTGCAAGCTGCTCTCATAGTGGCTCTCTTCCCTCCCTAACCACCCAGCCTCAGGAGTCCCAGCCATGGAATCACCATCTGCTGCCTAGCCACACAAGGGCATGTCAGCAGACAGCAAGCACAGTGGGACCACAGGGACGGGGATGTGCCAAGTAGCCCAGGACCAGGTGGGTGGAGGGGCCCAGAGACACTCACGACTGGTGGACGCTGCAGTTGTAGAAGACAAAGTCCACAGACGCGAACTTCTTCCCCGTCTCCTTGGACTTCAGGTAGAGTTTCACCACCCGCTGGTCTCCTGCAGGAGCAGCACGGCCAAGTCACCAGGATCCAGGGCAAGCCCAGACAGGGGAACAACTTGCCCAGGGACCCTCTAAGCTGCTACCGACAGTCGCATCAAACATGCCTCCATCCCCCTCGGCCCCCAGGTGACCGAGACCTGGGATCTGCTCTGCTTGCCTTCTGCACAGTAGTGTAAGGGGCTGGGAACCATGAAGCCCTCCACATGCCCATAGCCTGCCTGCTCCTGAGGAAGGCCCTGCAGAGCGACTGCCCAATGGGCTGTGGCAGCCAGCGAGGTCCTGCACCCCAAATCCCACGACTCTGTCCCCCATCCAACCTGTGCCCCACGTGGCCCACCCCTCACCCACTCCCATTTCCAGCCTGCAAACCCCCCAAAACCCCAGGTCTCCACCATGTGGTCCTTTCATTTCACCTACCCTGCCCTGCTCTTCCACCCTCAGTCACCACAGGACACCTAAAGACCTGAACGCCAGTAGCGATAGCAATAATTATGGTAGCGGAGGTGAAGTATGCTTGTGTGTCTACGTCTATATGGTGATCCCATAGGTAAGTCCTAAGAAGGATTTACCCACTGTCTACCTCCCTGGCAGGAGGGCTGTTGCTCTGGCTGCATGCCTGGAGGGTTCCCTCCACTCTCAGACCAGCAGGTGGTGAGACCCCCTCCGTATCAGCTGTCAGAGTGTTACCAACATGCCCTTGGAACTGAACAAGGGAGGCGCTAAACAGGCGGTGACTGGATGGCAGCCCTGGGCAGGCAGCAGGCACCACTGTATGGGGCCCCTCACCCTGGCCCCGCGTGATGGGCGCCACCTCCCGGGCAGAGGGCGAGCGGCAGTGGATCCGGCCGTCCTCCAGGATGCTCTCAGATTCCGTGAAGTCCTCAAAGGAGCAGTTGACACCAGCTGAGAGGTCAGGCACGTTCCAGGCCTGCAGCACGAGCTGGGAATGCAGCAAGAGGTGTGGTGAGCAGGGTCCCCATGGCTGCCCTCCACGCCCTACCACCCAGGGCACCACACTTACCGGGACCTGGGACATGGTGACAGATACGTTGCGTGGCTGCACAGTCAGCTGCACACACTGTAGCAGGTCCGCCGCAAAGCGCTGGGGCTCGTCTGCCCGCTCACAGGCGTCCCGCCTCGAGCAGCTGAAGGCAGAGGGGCTGAGGCTGAATAGGTGGGGAGACCTATAGGGCCCACCCCCTAGATGGGGTAGAGAACTTGGGGTGGCTTACCCTGCACCAGGCTACCCCTCCCCACTTCGAGACCACCATGGCCATCCCCACCTGCCCATACTCACATGCTGTGCAGGACACACCAGCCACAGTGGGGGTCCCGTGACCCTAGACACAGCTCACAGGACGTGTACTGCACACAGCTCTCCACAGGCACCCGCGTCACCTGGGGTGGGGGAGGTGTCAGGCCCCTCCAGTCCCACTCCAGGCATCCCAGCCATCCTCACCTCCAACTCCCTACTCTCCTCTCATTAGGCCTGGGGAGGCCCTGCACTTGTTCTCAGTCTATACAGGGGTAGCTCCAGGGTCTGGTGACCCTGCCCTAGCCAAGCTAGGTCACACAGGTCAGGCCTCTGCTCTGGGAATCCAGGAGGCAGCAGCCAGAGGGAACAGTCCATATGGGGTAAGCCCATTAGAGAAGCACCTGAAGCTCCAGCCAGAGTTCCTCTCCATCTGTCTGGACTCCCTCCCAGCTCTGAGTTTCCCCAGGGATCAGTGGGCTTGGTGAGCCCCAATCCTAAGCTCCAAGGCAGGCCCAGACAACACTCAGAGGGCCAGGCACCCATGTGCAGAGCCAGGCGACTCCCCTGCAGCTCACTCTGATTCCTTGGCTCAGCCCAGCATCCCAGTGCCAATGGAGGCATGTCCCTGAGGTCCCCAGGAAGGCAGTGCCCCACTGTACCCTGGAGGGGCAGAGGAGAAGGAGGAGCCAGCCATAAGGGGAGAGAGGCCTGGCTTTAGCTGGTGTGCCCAGCCTGGCCCCACCTGCCCCATCTGCCCACTGTCCAACAGCCACAGGCCACTAGGTTGGGCCAAAAGGCAGAGGTGAACTCCAGGAAGGTCAGGCCAGGGACTCAAGTCCATGGCCTTACAGAGCTGGGCCAGGCACCAGGCCAGCCATAGGCCCCACAAGCAGACCTACTAGATAGAGACCCAGCCCTAGGCCTGAGGACTCAGGCGCCCTGCCCACCCCAAGCCCTTCAGTGACACCTGTCCTCTGAAATCACTCTCCTTCACCTATCTGTTTATGTGGTCAGGAAGTCAACAGGAGAGGGGTGAGAATTCCAAACCCAGCTCAGGAGAACATGGAGGCAGCAGTGATGTTGTGGGGTCCCTGGTGCCCAGGCTGGTTCCCCCACAGACCCAGCAAGGCCCATGAGTCTGCAGGCAGGCAGAGCACAGACCAGCTTGAAACCACTTTCACCAGGAGCCATGAGTACCTGACTTGTGATGTGGCCCCACCCCCACTGCTCGGTGACTAGACTTCCTGGCAGGAGGCCCCCCACCTTCAGCCCACACCGTCTGACTGGTGCAGCACCCACCTGCTTCTCGGTCATGGCATAGAGGTACTGGTGGTTGGGGCTGAGGACGAGGTCTCGCAGTATGGGGTTGCCCTCCTGGGCCACCACGCTCTCATAGGCCAGTGCAGGCCGGCCGCCGGGGTTCGAAAGGTCCACCAGGATCTGCAGCAGCAAGGGTCCCTAACTGGGGCTGTGCTGATACCTACTTGAGCCAGCTCTACCCCCACCAAAGGTCAGGGGTCTAAAGCCCCTCCCCGAGCTGACCAAGACATGCATGAGCAGGGAAAGCCAGGGCCAGCCACATCACTCTCCACATCCCCGGCCCCAGCCCCAGTGCAGGGCAAACTCAGACCCCAACAGGCCAGTCTGGGACCCAGCTCCTTTATCAGTCAGCAGAAGCCAGAGGGCACTGGGGCCTGGAGACAACCACAGTCCAGAGCTCACCACGGAGCAGCATAGCCACACCCAGGGAGAAGGCTGCAGGAGTCCCATGGGTGCCCAGCCATCCCTGGGGCCAGGCTGGGCTTCTGAAGGAGGAGTGTTGGTTGTTGGTGGCAGAGGCTAGGGCTCACAAGGAGTCTAGGGTGGCTGGGACCAGGAGACTCCAGGATGGGGTGTCCTGGGGGTGGGGGCATCCCGGTAAGAAGGCAGTGGAGGAGGGTGGGAGTCTCATCGGCATGGAAATGTATTCCAGATCCCAAACAAACCGGGCGTTAATTAGCCAGCTCTTCTCCTCCGCAGCTTTCGATGCTGCAAGTATTTTTAGTTGCTTTTACCAAACAAATGTATTTAATTAACAGAGAGACCCAGGGGGCTTCCCAGAGATGGGACTCTTGGGGCATGTCTGCCCAGCTGTGAGTCCAGGGCAGGCTCTCACGCTGTGGGCTGTGGCCTGCTTCCACCAGCCTGACTGGCTCCCACTCCCCAGGGGCAGCCAACCTCTCCACCTCTACCTGAGGGCAGTGGCCTGGGCCCAGACTCAGTACCCTCCTCTGTGACCTCATGGTGACAGGGCAGGGCAGGTCCAGGGCAGCAGGGCCCCACAAAAGCCCCTGGTTGGAGCCCGATCCATCAGGCCTGGGCCAAGGGCGGCCAGCCAGGGTGGGGCGCTGTGTTTCTGCGCCAAAGAGGCTGTCGGCTGGGAGAGGGGGAGGGCCGCATTCCTGAGCGCGGCGGCCACCCCCCACATCCGCTCAGCTGCCTCGCCTCCAAGCAGGCTTAAGTCAAACCAGACCCGGAAGAGTGGAGCTCAGAGCTGGGCAGGGGAGGAGGCGGCCGGGATGGCCCAACTGCAGCCATGGCCCACAGCCTCTGGAAGGAAGGACGCAGGAACAGCGGGTGGCCCAGGCATAGCCAGGCCACAGCCACCCAGTGCCCCTGCTGGTGGGGTCTGGACTTCACCCACAGTGCACCCAGTGCACTTGTGCCTGCCTGTCCTGCGGCCGCAGCAGGAATGCGAGTCCCTATTCAAAATGACCAGTGGCCCAAGGCCTGCCTGGTGGGAGCTTAGATGCCGGCACCATAAACCCCCTGCCATACTCTGGGCCAGTAGCCAGAGGGCAGGTACTCAGACCCAGGTGGATGCCAGCCAGGAACAGCCTCTGGGCCATACTGCCTGGGTCCAAACCTCTCTCTGCCTTCATTTCCCCACCTGTGAAATGGGGATGACAGACACCCTTCCTTAGACAGAGCTGTTTTGATGTTTACATGAGGACCAGGCCAGGTGTGCCAGGTGGTAACAGGGAGGACCTAGGGAGGCCAGGCCCAAAGCAATCACTGCACCTCAGCAGCCAACCACAGAGCCAGGCCAGTGGCTTATGATAGTCACCAGGCAGTGGGGACAGGAAGATGAGGAGGGCAGGAAGATGAGAAGGGCAGGACACTGCATGGGTGGGGGCTGGGGCAGGGCTGCCCAGTGTGCAGACCTGGGGCTCCAATCTGGAAGACCCAGGTTAGGGACTGTGATTCCTGCCATCTCCTCCATCCCCACAGCCCTGCAGAGATCCCCAGCGGCTTCCCACTGTGAAGCCCAGGCCCAGCTCCCCCTCCCCCACCAGCACCAGGTCTATGGCTGCTCCCCACCCCCCCCAGGCCCGGCCCCTCTTGCCCCTGGAGGAAGGGCCTCTTTGGCCTGAGCTGATGGAACCTGGCCTGGCATGCAGGGAGCACTTGAGAGGGGTCTGAACAGGCACAGGACCAGAGAGGGACCAGCCTCCCACCTCACAAAGGCCAGGGCCACTTGATGCTGGGGCCTGACCCTGGCCTGGCCTGCCAAGCATCCACCCACTCAGGGTTGGGGGCACAGATGTCACACCAAGGGGTAGAGGAAATGGGTCAGGGAAGGGCAGGTCCAGTGGGCACACCAGCTCCAAGGCAAAGAACGGTGGGCGAGGGGTGCAATGAAGGGTCATGGGGCTGGAAGAAGCCACAGGAGCCACGGGCTGGGCCCCAGGCACACCCCGCTCCAGCTGGCAGCATGCCGACCAGACAGGTGGCTCCGACAGCTGCAGCTGGGAGCACATGCGTCCAGCTGTCCATCTGCTATGTACCCATCTGTCCACCCACCTGCCCACACTGGGCCACCCCCACTCCTTCACACACTCAGGCTGGGCCCAGGAAGACAGGGCCCCAGGAGAGGCCATGGCATGGCCAGAGGGTAGTGTGAGAGAGACATTGGGGAGGCCATGGCCCAGCACACCAGGCCAGAGGATGGACGGAACGCAGAGCAAGCCGCACACTGTTCACTGAGGCGCCACAGTCCCAGCTCAGCAGGCCCCTGTGTGTGCACACATGTTCTGTGGGGCATCCAGCTAGGACAGTGGTCCCCAGGACGTGTGCCTGTGTCCCTGACAGCATTCAGGGTGAAGGGCCTGTGCAACCAATCCAGCTTCATCAGACCACAGAGACAGGAGGTAAACTGAGGCTCACACAGCACCTGCCAGAGAAACCCAGGGCCCTGGACCTGCAACTGCACCTGTGGGGAGCACAGAAGCTGCTCGCAAAGTGGGAAGGGGGAGCCAGCACCCGGCAGGAGGTGAATCGAAGAGTGCAGGGGCACAGACGGCAGGCAGGCCTGAGGCCAGAACGGCTGGCAGGACAGCAGGGCACACGCCAGCCTGGAGCCCACGTGCCGACGTCCACACCCTGGCCACAGCTGTCCACTCGTGGGCCACCCGCTTGGAGGCAGCCCACCCTCGAGGTAGCTGGACCCAAAGCCCCTCCCACAGCAGCTGGGCAGCTGGCAGAGCAAACGAGAGGCTTGACGCGTCCTGGTCGTGGGGCTGGGCCACAGGCATGCCCTGGAATCCTCCCTCAGCTGTCACCTTCCTGCTCTGCAAATCTTTCCCCAAAGACCACCCAAACCTTCCACGACTGGCCCCAACAGCCCGACCTCCCACCTCCCAGCACCAAACGGGAGCTGGCGATGCCCATGCATGCCCCCATGCCTGAGAGGGCCCTCCCCTTTACCCAAGGGGCATCAGCAGAGCCATCAGCCTCCCTGGACATGTTCCTTGGCTGCATCAGGCCCCCACCCAACCCTGGCTGGGGGGACACAGGTCATCCCACCCACTTCTACCTAGACCATCTAACCCTGGGGTCCCTGTCCTACATGCACATGGGCGAATTGACCCTGGCCTCGGAGCTGAGACTGCAGTGCAGTCCCGAGGCACGAGGTCCCCAGGCCTCTCAGTGCTGGGGCCAGGCCAGGCACAGCCCTCACTTGTGGACTGGGCACCTCCCACCGCCACAGGGCTCTCCTGGCCCTCCCCACAGACGAGGGAGCAGGTTTACTCCTTTGCCCCGAGGCACAGCAGGCAGGGCTCACTGCAGGCCCCAGGCTGGCCCTACTGGCTATACCCACTCCCATCACTGCCACAGCCCTGGCCAACTGCTGCAGGCGGGCAGCTGAGGGCCCGGCCAGGTCAGCTGTCCGTCCCGCCCAGAGTCAACAAAGGGCCCATTCTCCAGGCTGAGGGCACGCGGGGGTGCTGGGAGGATGTCTGGGCCGCTCAGGCTATGTGCCAGGGCCGGCACGCGCCCCAGCCGCCGGGAAGCAGGGGGCTGCCTGGCTTGGCCCTGACCTGGCAAGAGGAGTTGCCCAGTTCTGCCCAACCCACGATGGCAGCCAGGGGCCTGGCCCTCCCCCTGCCTGTGCGACAGGCTTGCACCTGTGGAGCTGCTGTCTGGCTCTAGGGCTGGGGGAAGGACAGGATGAGGTGGGGACAGGCAGACCAAGGGCAGCAGCTAGGGAGGCGGCCACAAGTAGAGGCCTCACATGCCTCTCAGCCATTCTGCAGAAGCAGCTGCCAAACCTGTTCTTAGTGTGAGGTGGTCCCAGGAAGGGCTGTTCCAGGGGCAGGAGCTCTGCTGCCCTCTCTTCTCAGGATCCCCCACAGGGCACAGAGCCCATCTGCCTCTCCCCTTCCCGGCCAGGACGGCATGGCTGAGGTAGTCCCCAGTGGACCCACTCCTGAACCCTCGTCACCCCTCACAGGACTGCTCCTTCCTCCGGCTAGGGACAGGTTCTAGACCTCCTTCCTGGTCCCCGTCACTCTCAGAAAGGCCAGGAGGAATTTCATACTGGAAAAGCAATTAGTGATTTCCTCTTGCCAGTAATTGGGTAATTAAAGCAGGATTTGCAGGAAGCCTGAGGGCTGGAATCGGGCCAGACACACCTGTTGGGGGAGAGGGTGTCCCAGGAATCCCATCTTTTCTACCCCCAACCCTCAACACACAGGGAAGAGTAGGGAGCAAGGTCAGGGTCCTGGCAGGTGGAGGACAGCAAGGGCTGCCTTAGACGGGCTCCAGCCTGCCCCAGCAGCAACCACTCAGCAAGGAGTGGACCTGCCAAACCCCTGGTCTCATCTGCTAACATCCACCTCACAGAGCTGTGTGAGAACTCAGGAGCTCATGGTTCCAAAGGGGAAGGCAAGCATGTTTGCTTGGCCCTGTGGGAGGGCAGATGTGCACAGCTATCTGGGGAACCTAGCTCCCTCCTGGCAAGGCCACACCTGGCAGGGCCACCATGAGCCACTGTAGACTGCACCGCCTCAGTCACACACTGGGGATTGGCCAGGGTCCTGCCACAGCCAGGCTGTCACCAGCACGGGTCCTTCGGTGGTGCAGGCAGCAGGGACCATCTGTCCCAATGTCTTCTCTCA